ATTTGGGAGGCTGGACTTTACGAGGAGGAAAATAGCATCAGGATTGGAGGAAGAAACATCAATCATTTGTGTAATGCAGATGACACAACCTTGCTTGCTGAAACTGAGAAGGACATGAGACGTATGCTGCAGCAGGTCCAGGAATATAATCTTCAATATTAATTGAAACTTATCACCAAGGAAACAAAGATTCTCACCACTGGACCAATTTGTAGCATCATGATAGATGGAGAAGTGATTGATATTATTATCAGCTTGCTTGGTTCCACAATCAACACTCTTCACATCAGTAGTCAGAAATCAAAAGATGAATTGCATTGAGAACAACTGCTGTCAAGGACTTATCTAAAGTACTAAAGAACAACAATGCCAGTCTTGAGACTAAGGTGTGCCTGATCCAGGCTATGGTCTTCACAAACACTTGCTATGCATCAGAGAGCTGGACAATGACTAAGGATGATAGAAGAAGAATCAGTCCACTTGAGTTGTGGTTTTGGAGATGAGTGTTGAACATACCATGGAATGCTAGGAGAACAAACAGGCCTATTTTGGAGAGGGTGAAATCAAGCTGCTCTCTGAAAGCAAGAATTTTGAAGCTCTGACTCACACACTTTTGATATGTGGCCAGGAGTGATGAGTCCTTGGAGAAGAACATCATGCTTGGAAGGGTGGAGGGACAGCGCATGAACGGATGACCCAGGATGAGATGTGACTGAAAAAAATGAGATTAGGGCTATCAGAGATGATGAGATTGTCGTAAGATAGAGCAGGTTTCAGAGCTGTTGTACATAGGGTCACCATGAGTTGTAAGTGACTCGACAGCACATAACAAAAAAACGTTCATCTTTGTTCTCTAGGCCTGTTCCCAAGGAAAGCAAATTGTGATCAAACCCCAACATGGTAGGCCAAAGTGGTATATCTTTATATAAACCATAAACATAGCACACTTCCCATTTCAAATCAGCAATAATAAATATCTGCCTTACATACTTCAGCAATACCGTATGTCCCCTGCCTCCCTGTCTACTGGTACCAAGAGTGTTAATTGTGGATCCAAGCAGGATGAAGTTGTTCAGTTTCATTATGTTCTCCATCTACCTATCAGTCCAGTGGTAAGAATCTTTCTTTTCTTAACATTGAGATGCAATCCATATTGAAGCCTGCATTCCTTGATCTTATGCAACAAGTTCTACAAGTCCTCCTTACTTTCAGTAAGCAAGGTTATGCCATCTACATAATGCAGGTTATTGATAAGTCTCACTCTCATCCTCTTCTTGGAGTCTAGATTATTGAATAATTTTCTCAACATACAGATTTAATAGGTATAGAGAAAGAATACAACCCTGATACAATCTCTTCTTAATTTTAAACCATGCAGTGTTTTCCTGATCTGTTCTGACAACAACAGCCTCCACAATTAAGTGCTCTGGGATTCTCATTCTTCTAATGTCAGCACAATTTGTTATGATCCACATAAACACCTTTGCATAGTCTATAAAGCACAAATAGACATTCTTTTAGTATACTCTATTTTCAGCAAGGATCCATTTGACATCAGCAGTGATATCCTTGGTACCATAGCCTCTTCTAAATCCCTGTCTGAACTGAGAGTTCTAGCTGTTTTTACATGATCGTCAGAAGTATTTTGCTTGTATGTGATATTAATGATGTTTGATAGTTTCAACATTCATTTAGATGACCTTTCTTGGGAACGGGAACAAATATGGACCTCTTCCAATGCATTGGCGAGACAGCTGTCCTCCAAATTTCCAAGCGTAGACTAGTGAACACATCCAAGTCAGTTTGAGGACTAAGGATTCAGGCCATGGTTTTTCTAATCACTTGCTATGCATCTGACAACTGGGAAATGAATAAGGATGACAGAAGAAGATTGACACCTTTGAGTTGTGGCACTGGACAAGAATTCTGAATGTCCCATGGATGGCCGAAAAACCAAATATATATGTCTTAGAATGCTCTTTACAGGCAAGGATGATAAGGCTTTGCTTCACATACCTCAGGTATGTTGCTAGGAGGGGCATTCCTTGGAGAGGGACAATGATGCTTGGAAGGGCTGAGGGTCAACAAAGGAGAAAAAGACCCTCAACCAGATGGATTGGCATGGTGGTTACTGCACTGGGCTATAGTGTTTCAGGAAGTGTGAGGATGGCACAGGATAGGATGGGTTTTAGATCTGCTGTTCATAGCGTTGCTATGAATTGCTCTTAACTCATACTTCAAAAAGGGTTATTTTCAGTAACAGAGGTGATGAAGTTGATGCCAATACAACTTAAAGCAATTGTCAAGACAGTTGTCCTTCAAGGCGACTCCATGTGAATGAAAGTTTCTATGTATTTAAATCACCTTTTAATAGACAATTTTTAAAAAGATGAAAAAAAAGGTCACTAGTGCTTTCTTTTGAGATGCTCCTGGATGAACTAGAACCTTGAGCCTCTAACCTTTTGAGTGGCTAAATTAATTAGCCATTTGCATCACACAGTTCAAATCCACCGTCTGCATTATTGAAGAAAGATGGGCAATCTCCTCTTGTGCAATTAAACTGTCTCTGAAAACTCACTAGAGGATCAGTTATGAGTTAGCTCTACTTGACAGCACATATCATCAATAATGTAAACACTAAATGGTAGAGCCTCAGTTTATCCAAGGGCACAGCTTCTAAGTGTTCTCAATTTCTTGCACCATTTGAATTAACGGAGCTAAATAAATATGTCACAAGTCCTTACTGATCTAGGGAAGGAAGAGGCAGATCATAGTCCTAATTTTATAAAGCACTTTTATGGTTTACAATCTACTTTATATCCACTATTTCCTTTTATTTTTACAGCAATATATTTTAGGGAAAGCTCACTAACCTCTTTTCTGTTGGATGAAAAGACACTTGATTTAGAAAAGAAATTACCTGCCTATGGGCTATATCACAGGAGACAGCAGAGCTGGATTTAGATCTAGTTTCCTCTTAGTGCAATTCCTATAGTCTTTCCTCACAAAGAGGCACTTGTCTCTGTTCCATCATTATTTCTTTTTTTATTGTAATGAAGGTTTACAGACTTTGGATTTCCATTTATTCATTGTTGCACTTTTCTCCCTGCCCTCCCCCCACCTCAATCCCCTTTTCTTTTTGAAAAGTAAAAGAAAAAAAATTTTCATTGTTATTCAATCCCTCCCCCCAAGTCCACTCCACTATGCTACCTTCGTTCTGAACTCCTGTCATAACAATAATATCTAATAATATCTCCCTTTTAAACAGTTCTCTCCCTCTTCTGTTTCAATGCAGTATACATTATTGATCCCATCTTTCTCATCATTGCTGAGCATTCTTTGTTGTCTCCTGGACACATTGCACGGTTCTTGCAATTCCCTCAGCAGCATTACACCCGAGGAACAGCACAGATGCGGTAACTGACAGGAGAGAGGGTGAGGCCTGATCTGAAATTCAGATTCAGCTTCTCGTTGGCTGGGGGCTCGAAAGTAAATTTTTGCATGAGAGAAGTGAAGAAAATAAACAGCTCAGCCCTGGCCAGCTGCTCTCCAAGGCAAACGCGTTTTCCTGAAAGGCAAAAACATGAGATTGAATTCTCTTCCCTGGTGGAGGAGGTGCTTGGTAGGGAAGGAAAATCCTCCCCATCTCCCCTTCATGAGAAATTAATTAGAGAGAGGACTTGCAAGTCCTCAAAGCCTTATTTACAGAAGATCATTTCAGTCTGTCAACCACCTACGTAACCTCAGGCACAGAGTATACTTCATGAACTTAAATGCCTCTGGGGGGTCTGATGAGGGAAGCAGAGAACTACCTGAAGCTAGGAGGAAGCACACAGCCTAATTTTCCTTAGAGCCTCCAGGAAGGAAGTAACCTTGCCTACTCCTTGATTTCAGATTTCTAACTGCCAGCAATGTAGGATAATAAAATTGTGCTGCTTTATACCAAACAGTTGGTGAGACTTTGCCAAAGCATTCCTAGAAAATGAATATTGTAACTTTCCTTAACATTATTTTATTCTCCTTAACTATTGCTGATTTCAGTGACATAAATGGTTCTCTTCACTTGGAGAAAAGCCCTGTTGGCTGTCACAGTGTCCTTAGATATAGAGGTCCTTCCCAGACAAGAGCCTTTGCTTCTAATATGCAGCTCAAGGCTGATTCTTCTCTTCTCACTTCAAACATGGCGCTGCCCTGACTACCTCCTACTCCTGATCCTAAGAGGAGAGCCTGGAAGCAGAAGCATGGAGATACAATTCAAATCCTCCCGCTTTCTAACCAAATGATTAAGGGGAAATTTAGGCATTAATAAAACTATGTATGCGCGTGTGAAGAAAGAGAGAATAGAAATGTTTATTCTGAACACTATAGAATATTATATAGATTTAATTTGAATCCAAATAGATGAGTTCATTTAATAATTTATGCAGAAAAGTAATTTAAAATGCCACTCTGGTAAAAAGTAACATTCTTCATGTAAAAGCTTGAACTTCATCACCATAGGCTCTTGCTCATATGTTGTTTCGTGAAATTCTTCTGTGTCTGCCCATTCTTTTCAATGCAGTAACTCAGTATATTCTTTCCATCTTCTTTTAATACTTCCTGAATCATTTAATATTCTGCCTAAAGTGTCCTTGATTATAGCAACTTGAGATTTTAATTTGGGACCTCTCCAAAGTACTGAAGAGCAATGGTGTCACTCTGGAGACTAAGGCGTGCCTGATACAGGTCATGGTCTTTGCAATCAGTTGTTATGCATCAGAGAGTTGGACAATGACTAGGGAGGATAGGCAAATTGATGCCTTTGAGCTCTGGTCCTGGAGAAGACTATTGATTGTACCATGAACTGCTAAGAAAACAAACAGGTTCATCTTGGAGAGGATTAAACTGGGATGCTCCTTGGGAGCAAGGATCCTGAGGCTTCGTCTGACATACTTCGGTCATGTTGCAAGGAGGTACCAGTCCTTGGAGAGGGACACCATGCTTGGGAGGGTGGAGGGACAGTGCAGGAGGAGAAGACCTTCTGTGAAGTGGATTGATTCAGTGACTGGGGTAATCGGAGTGGGTGTATCAGAGACAGTGAGACTGGCACAGGACAGAACAGGGTTTAGGGCTGTTGTACGTAGGGTCACTATGAGTTGCAAGCGACTTGAAGGCGCACATAACAACACAGTAACAGCATGTAAAGAACTTATTGAATTTATGTGGGAAATAGTATATTTTTTATCTTATAGTTAAATTTTCCAAAAATATATATAATTCTCAAAAGAGGAAAATGAACTACTTTTAACCATGTTGTGACTGTGGGTAATCCAGCCCAGTTTTCCTTTTTAGCCTCTCAGGTATCTTGGGAAGCTGTTATCATTGTTGTAAATCATGCTACCACATGGTGGTGGGGACTGTACAGCTGAGGGAATGAGAAGAAATGGGCTTCATCTCACCGATCCTATTACTGGTCTTCCTTGGGATGCATGTGCTGCATATTGTCATTGATTGCTATTGAGTGATAACAGACTCATAACTAATCCCCCCAGAATAGTTTTTAAAAAACATTAAATCGTATGGGAGTAGACTGCTCATTCTCCCTTGGGACAGCTGGTGGATTCGAACTGAATACCTTTGGTTTGGCCGAGTCACTCCTCACCACGAAGCCACCAACTCCAAAGTACATGAAAAATCCTCACTGGATTTCTGCATGCTTTCCAATACTGACAACACATGGTATCAAGAAAAAACTTGAAAGTAGAAAATAGCTTGGTAATTAAAGGGTCAACTAAAATTTGAGGCATGGTCAGAACTCAAACTCATTGTAGTCAAATTGGAACCAACTCATAGCTGACCCTCAAGAGACCATAAATATCTGACATGGCAGTCTCACCCCCATGACCTCCTGTGCGTTATAACTCGTTGTCATGGTACGTTCTAAAGCTTTTTTTAACTTTGAAATTATTTAAAATCATCCGAAGTCTTAGCAACTCCTGAGGCAGAAGAGCATTGCCTCATGGGGATTTCTTGGTTGTCATCTTTATAGGAGCTGATCTCAGTTCTTTCTGCCATGAAAATCCTGGGTAGGTTCAAACTCTCAAATTTATTCACCTGAACTTTCATCCACTAGTTTTTACACCCATTCTTGTTTTATGGACAAATTATTCATAACTCTGATGATTATCAATTGGTGATTTTTTTTAAATTACAAGGTGCATTCTAAAATAAGGAAATTCTGATCACCTCTTTATTGATTACTTTGCTTCTATATGTATGCATAGATTTAATCTGTTTCTTTCAGTGTCTAATTTGTTGACTAAGCTACATCTAGATTTGGTCATTTGGTGCCCACTTACGTTACTACCTTACCTTTTGCCACAATAAAATGTTCTAGGTTTAGCATCCATTAACCACTTTGTCATTTTCTCGAGACCTTGCTTCCTACCAGCAGGTGATGATTTCTGGAAACTATTATGTGGGTATAGTCTTGCTCACTGATATCAGAGTTTTATAGTACCCAGATCCATTCAATGGACAGCCATCGGGATTATATATGTGTATGCATGTGATCTCATCTCTCCAATGCCTAATATGTCAATATTTATGTGTTCCATTTCTTTCTTAACAATTTCTAATTTTCCTTCATTCATGGCTCTCACATTCCATGTACCAATCACTAGGGTCTGCTTACAACTGTTCCTCCTCCTTTGTATTTCCATACTTGATAGTTCTACCTAGGTTGCCCTTTCTGTTAATCTGCGTGTGTTCTGTTGTGCATAGGGTTTTCAGAGGCCTGCTATTTCAGAAGTGGGTGGCCAATCCTTCTTCCTAGTCTGTCTTAATCTGAATGTTCCGATTTAGAGGAGTATCTGACAGACAGCAATTTGTGAAGCAGTGAAAGATAAATCCCTTATTGTGGAGTTAAGCATTAGTTACCCTGTTCACCCCACCCTTAGCCCAGAGCCTTGACCCACTTACTTCCCATTTAATTGTGCTAATAGGAAACCTAATACGGGTCCTTGGAGAGGGACATCATGCTCGGGAGGGTTGAGGGACAACACAGGATGGGAAGACCCTCTATGAGATGGATTGATTCGGTGACTGGGGTAATCGGGATGGGTGTATCAGAGGCAGTGCGGTGGGCGCAGGATAGAGCAGGGTTTAGGGCTGTTGTGCATAGGGTCGCTATGAGTCGGAAACGACTCGACGGCACATAACAACAAACAACAACAACATGCATGTGATGTGAGTAAACATACAATTATGTGTCTAAACATTTACATTTGTCCATCTATCTATTGATCAATCCACTGGTCTATCTATTGATAAATCCATCAGTCAATGTATTGTTCTAACACTCCATCTCCACTATCATCATGGTCAAATCGGAGTTCAATTAGTAACCTTTCAATTCCAATCCAATAAACCCCAAAGCAGTTTATCTTATTTTCTCCCCTTCCATATCCCTCTCATTATTCTCAATATATTTACTTATTGGTATAATTTTTCTTGATTATAATTCATCTCCTATCACTGCCATGGTATGAAAAAACTAATCTACTGAAAGGGAGTTTCCTTGGAGGTGTGGAATAGAAATGGCTATTCTGACAAAACTTTCTGACTTTTTGTTCTCTCTGTATCCTGCAACCAGCTAATCATTATTTAAACTCTGGTTTTGAAACTGAATTCAGTGGCTTGCTAAATGCCTACCAATCTTGTGATTTCTTAGTCTCCGTAACCTGTGAACAATCTGCCATCTCACCTGCCTGCATGGGTTCCTTAGAGCCTCTGGCCCTGAGGACACTGAAGATGCAGCCTGCCATCTCATCTGGCTATGTGAGTTTTGTCAGCCCCTAAAGCAACATGAAGCAGGCAAAGTCTCCAGCTTGACTTCTGTCCAGCAGATTTGGAACTTGTCAACCTCTACAAACACATGAGCCAATCCCTTGAGAAAAATCTGTCTCTACATATATAGTTATATAGCTTCCCTGATTATGCTTCTCTGGAGAGCTCAGTTTAAGAAATCAATGAATTGAAAAAAGGAAGGGGAAAAAAAAGACTCATTTCTTCACCCCTGTATCCACATAATTTGTGATTTCATAGCTTACTCACATGAAAATTTAGTCATTTCCCCCTTCTTTAATCGATGGAATCGCATTCCTCTAGAACATGTGGGCTCAAATTCTAATTCTTTTCTTTCCCTTTAAGTTTGTTTTGTCAGCAGCAAATTAATGTTGTTTTTCTAAATTGATGTACATTAAAGATAGACAAGTAATGAATTCGATAGTTTTGGTTTGGTGTGGAATTTAGGTATTGTTACAAGGTAGAAAGAGCACAAGCTTTGGTGTTTAATTATTCAGACTGAGATTGAGTCCTGGCTCTGCCAAGTATGAGTTTTATGGTTTTAATTGCTAGAGTTAACCCTTATAAGCCTCAGTTACCTTATCTCTACAGTGTAGATAACAATTTGAACCTTGTAAACTTTCAATAGAATAGATGACAGCAGGCTTCTCTTTTGTGTTATTCACTATCATATCCTGAGGACTAAGTGCTTGACACATCATCAATGTGCTATCTTTACAGAACCAACAAAGTAGGAAATTACTTGAAATAATACCTGTCACATATCTAACTCAATATTTGAATTATGCTGAAATCTTTGTTACTCAATTTATAATGCGTGAATTAAGTAAAATTAAAAATCATATAAATATGCAAATAACCTTCCAGAACTTCCTGGCTGGGCTAGACACCTCCTTTGTCCCTTTCAATGTATGTACCATGTAAAAGTTACAATGTGATTTTAAAAAGGTAATAGAAATTGTCATCAGGGAATGTTAAAAAGTAAATTCAGTAGATTCAATTTGGTCCCTGACAATGATAAACACTGTCAGAGTCTCATGATTGTAAGATTCTCACCACTGGGTTGATTGGTAGCATCATGATAGATGATAAAGAGATTGAGATTGTTAACATCTTCAATTTGCTTAGATCCATAATCAACACTCTTGGTACCAGCAGCCAGGAAATTAAAAGACAAACTGAATTGAGAAAATATACTGACAGAGACCGCTCCAAAGCATTAAAGAGCAAAAATGTCAGTCTGGAGATTAAGGTGCTCCTGATCGAGGCGAGAGTCTTTGCAATTACTTGCTATGCATTTGAAAACTGTACAATAAATAGGGAGAGGATAGAAGGAGAATTGATGCCTTTGAGCTGTGGTGTTGGAAAAGAGTACTGAATATACCATGAAGTGCTAGGAAAACAAACAGATTCTTCCTAGAGAGGGTTAAACCAGGCTACTCCTTGGAGCAAGGATTCTGAAGCTTCGTCTGATATACTTTGGGCATGTTGCAAGGAGGGACCAGTCCTTATGCTTGGGAGGGTGGAGGGATAGCACAAGAGAGGAAGACCCTCAATGAGATGGATTGATTGAGTAACTCGGGTAATGGGGTAGCGGTGTCAGAGACAATGAAGTTGTCATAGAATAGAGCAGGGTTTAGAGTTGTACATAAGTTCGCTATGAGTCGCAGGTGACTGGATGGCACATAAAAACAACAACACTGACCCCTCCCTATCTAGTAATTATAAACCAGCCCTATACTTGCAAGACGGGATGGCCCCTTACAGAACTTGGGGGGGTATTCTGCAAACCTGTAAATACAGCTTAGGGATAAGGAATTGCACTGCCTATCCAAAGAGGGAGCTCTAGTGGCAAGAAGCTGTGCTGTAATCCTGGAGGCACGCAGTTCGAGGCCACCATGGGCAATCTCCACCCATGCAATTAACTGCCTCTGAGAACTCAAGGGAGGGTCAGCTAAGGGTCGGTTCCAACTGGATGGTACACAACTACAATAACAACAACAACATCCAAAGACAAGCAGTTTGAATTCAACAGCTGCTCTGTGGGAGAAAGAGGATCATAGTCTCTTTCTTTGTGATTCACTGCTTCTGAAAACTGCTTGAGGATCAGTTATGAGTCAGTTCCGACTTGATAAGACACAACAGGAGCAACATAAAATTGGCAGATGTCCAGGCTTCTTTCTGAGTAATAAGAAAGGTCTGAGTTTCTGTGGCTCCTGAGCTAAGGACAGGAGTATATAAGGGACAGATAATGTGAGACTGCCATCAGAGACAAGGGTTAGCTGGGGAGACAACAGACAATTTAGATCAATTACCAGCATAGGGATTTGCACTTTGTCACTTAGTAAGGTAGAGTCATGACGTGCAGGACCATCTGGAGACATCTGAACTAAAGCAAAGGGCTCCAGAAAGAAGAACTAACAGGGCCATCCGAGCAAACTCTGATCTTCACATTCTTATTTATTACAACTCACCTATTGAAAAAGGCATGAAGGATTCCCTTTTCTTAAACTGTCCATTCTCCAGGAAGTGCTCCGGATTGAAGGTGTCAGGGGTGGCCCACTCTTTGGGGTCCCTGTGCAGGGCAGTCAGATTGGTCAGGATCATGGTGCCCTAGAGAAAGCAGTAAAAACTCAGGCAAGGTTTAATCCATGCAATATGTCTATGCACAGGTTGGCCTGAATGGTTCAAACCATCACCCTTCCATTAGCACCCCAACACATAAATCATTATGCCAGATGGAAGACAGAGGACTAGGGGGAGAGATGGGAAGGTGTGACGTTGGCATAGAGAATATAAATGGGCACAGTAGAATGGCCAGCAGATTCTAAGACCTGGGAGAGTGGGATGAGATGGCTGTGGGAGGACTGAGGAATTTAACAGGAATCTACCTCCAAAAATCTTTCACAGAAATCCCCCAAAATTACAACACACTGATTGGCAGTTGATTATTGGGATGATGCAGGATTGAGAAGTGCTTTGTTCCCTTGTAAAAGGGTTGGTGTGAGATCAACGGCAGCTACAGTATCAACAGCTGAGGAAAATTACAAAACCAAAGTCAAATCCACTGCCTTGGGTCCATTAGGATTCACAGTGATCTCCCATCACGTCTGCAAGGCTTTACACTTTTTTTGTTGTTGTTGTTAACAGCTTGTTTTATTATTATTTTTTAATT